GTAGGGAGTTAGGAGGCTGCAGAGGTAGGGGGGAGCAAGGCCATGGAAGGCTTTGAAGGTGAGGACCAGGATCTTATAGAATCATAGAATGTTACGGCACAGAAGGAGGCCATTCGGCCCATCGAGTCTGTGCGGCTCTTTGACAGAGCAACTGACTTTTATTAACCCCACTCACCAGCTTTTTCCCCATAATCCTGCAAACCTGTCTTCTCCAGATACCTATCCAGTTCTCTCTTAAAAGCTGTTATCGAATCGGACTTCACTGCCCTTTTGGGCAGATCATTCCAAATTCTAACAACTCACTGAGTGAAAAAATTTCTTCTAACCTCCCCTCTGCTTCTTTTCGTAGATATCTTCAGACTGTGACCACGAGTCACAGATACACCTACCAGCGGAAACAGCTTTTCCCTATCTCGCCTGTCAAAACCTTTCATGATCTTGAAGACTTCTATCAGGTCCCCGCGTAACCTTCTCTGCTCTAATGGAAAAAGTCCGAACTTTTCCAGCCTGTCCTCATAGCTAAGCTTCCCCATTCCTGGGGAATGGGGAAGCTTAGCTGTATCCTGTGTGATTGGAAGTCAGTGGAGTCTGTCGAGGATGGGGGTGAAAGGGTTTCGCAGCCTGGTGCGCGAGAGGACATGGGCTGCAGAATTCTGGGTGATCTGCAGCCTATGGAGGGAGGAGTTGGGGAGGCCGACAGGCAGGGAGTTTGAATAGTCAAGCCTGGATGTAATGAAAGCGTGTATGAGGGTTTCGGCGGAGTGAGCCCCATGGATGGTGATGCTGTCAGCGCCTGAGGTGAGAAGGCGCTGACGAGAGCCAATCAGGAGCCTCGGTCTTGTTGACATTTAACTGAAGAAAGTTAGCTCTCATCCAGGACTTGACGTCTGACAGACATTGTGTCAGGACAGCAGTGGTCTTGGAGTCAAGGGTTGAGGCAGAGAGGTAGAGTTGGGTGTCATCCGCATACATTTGGAAGTTGACCCCATGTCTGGGGATGATGTCACCAAGAGGGAGCACATAGATGTTGAAGAGGAGGGGATCAAGGACAGAGTCCAGAGGAACACTATATGAGACAGTGCGGGGGCTAGAGGAGAAACTGTTTGTGGAGATGAATTGGAGGCGGTCTGAGAGGTACGATCTGAACCAGTCAAGAACAGAAACGTGGAGGTTGAGGTGAAAGGAGAGGCGGTGGATGAGGATAGAGTTGTCGACTGTGTCGAAAGCAGTAGAGAAGTCAAGAATGATGAGGAGGCAGAGGGAGCCCTGGTCACAGATGGACAAAATGTAATTTGTCACTTTGACCAGAACTGTTTCTGTGCTGTGGGCGGCACGGAAACCCGATTGGAGGGGTTCGACAAGGGAGTGTCGGGAGAGGAAGAGGTGGAACTGGGAAGCAACAACTCGTTCCAAGACCTTGGAAAAGAAAGGGTTTGGGATCGGTCACTAGTTTGAGAGCAGGGATAGGTCCAAGGAGGGTTTTTTAAGGATAGGAGTAATGACGGCTGTTTTTAAACTGGTGGGAACGCTGCCTAGTTTCTACCGAATATCAATAATTCTCTTCCAGTTTGTACCTAATACACACAGGCTCTTTGCACCGAGCAGAGAGGCAAACATGATGTGCGGCCAAAGGCTTAGGACATAGAGTGATGAATTGACATTCACAAAATTAACCCCAAAACAATGAGACCCAAATTGCTCCCCAGCCACTCTTTTCATTCTCCACTTGCTCCAATCTTTCTTGGTCAACATTCACTGCTTTTTGACCACTGAATGCTCAATTCACAGCAACAGGGACTCTTAGAACTCTCCTCGAGCACCTCACTGTGTCGCACAGGTGTGCAACTGCACTACACAAGTTAACGACTCTCCCCTGTATACACGCTTCAGTCTGGCTTAGTTGGTAGCACTCTCGCCTCCGAGTTAAAAGGTTGTGGGTTCAAGCTCTATGTTGGGACTTTGAACTCACAGTCTAGGTTGACATTCCAGTGCAAACCTAGGGAATCACTGCATTGCGTCTTTCGGATGAGAGATAAACTGTTCAGGTGGACGATAAAGATCTCATGGCACTATTCGAAAAGAGAAGGGAGTTTCTCCCAGTGTCCTGGCCAACAATCCCTAAAATAAAATTAGTCATGCACATCATGGGTGTTTGTGTGACATTGTTGTGCACAAATTAGCTGTCGCTTCCGCTCACAAAAAAAGTCACTCCACTTTAGAGTATATGCTGTGAAGCGCTTTGAGACGTCCTCCTGATGTGAAATGTGATATATCAAATGTAAGGATTATTATTAATCATTTTATTCATTATTATTATTTTGAAGAACTTTGAGATGTCTCCTCAATGTAAAATGCACTAAATCAAATCTAAATTAAAAAATGTATATTTACACTGACATGCATCTAGGAAAACAGGAACTGGGAGAGGCTATTCAACCTATTATGCTTTTTCCACCAGTTTATTACATTTTGACATATTTTTAATCCTAATTTCCCGCGCTTTCGCCACACCCATTGATGCCTCAAATACCTAAGTTGCTGGCAATCTCTTTCAAAGGTCCTACTGATTCTGCTTCTACAGCTTTCTGGGGCAGAGTGTTCCCCATCTTCAAAACTCTCTGGGTGAAGAAATGCTTCCTGATCTCAGTTCCAACATATTGGTTCTGATTTTAAGGCTATACCCTTTGTAACTGACCACCTACAAGAGGGAAGAGTTGTCCATGGTCTTACCTCCAAAAACTTTCCGAACCTGTCAAATCCTTTCATTATTTTAAATGCTTCAATCAACCCCTCCCTTAACCTCTGCTCTTCTATGTTTCCAGCCTCTCCTCACAGCTAACTGGGCAGGAGACAAAGATGCTCTGAGAGATGCGTCGGGTCCTGTTAAGTAATTGCTCTGATATTTGTCTGGAGCAAGATCAAAATAATTAATATGTGGTCTTGTGGTTGCTGGCATGTGTGTGTGTGTGTCTTTAAAATATATGACCAGGTAAAGCCTGACACCTATATCAAAGCAAGGGCATTGAGGCTGGTGAGTAATTGCAATGAGACCTGTGGGGAAACCTCTCCCTTCAGTGCTCTGGAGAAGGTGAGGGAAGAGGATTTGATTACCGTTGGGGTGGGGGGAGATGCGAAGTAGGAGTGAAAAGCATTCTGCATTTAGCTGGGGTGCAGGACTGAGAGAAGTAGGTCTGCGTATTGCTAGAGGAGGGGAAGGCCTGTGTACTTTTGGGGGCGAGAGGGCCAAAAGGGTAGAGGAAAAGTCAGCATACTGCTATTCTGCCACTGTTCTCTCTGGAACTCTATCCCTGAGTCCGTCCGCCTCTCCCTGCCCTCCCCTTTCAAAGCCAGTCTTCAGACCGTTTTTCTCCACTTTTTGGTTGTGGCTCTTTATGACTTTGCACCCCTTTGCCAGCTGGGCTCTCAGCCGATTCTGTGAAGACATCTCCCGAAGTGAAAGTCACTAAATAAATGTAAAATTGCTGTTTCTGCAAGGGTGTGTGTGTGTGTGGGGTGGGGGGAGAGAGAGGAAGGATTGTGTACTGCTGGGGAGGGGCGAGGGCGTGCTTATGGCTGCAGAGAGGTCCATACATTACTGTGGTCTGGTATGATTTTGTTAAACAGTTACTATATCCATGTACATATTCACCTAAAAGTACAGTCACTACATTTTATAGAGAATCTTGTGAAGCACTCGGAGACTTTCTCCTAACATGAAGGCACTATATTAAGTACAAGGATATTTATTTGTTTATGCTTATAGTGCATGTGGCTGATTGGAGGGTAAAGCAATCCCATGAAGGTAGGATAGATTCACAAACCTCTTAAATAGCACTCACATTTGCTCAGACTTGTATCACGCACTGAGCCCCATTGTTTGGCTGGATGTGCAGTTATCCAACTAACGGCCTAGTGCTAGTAATCTGTGACTAACCAACTCCCGGTTAGCGAGGCTGGGGCCTCAACATCACTCGAGCAGCAGTGCATAGGTCAAAAAATCACTTTCTTCATGTATGATCTTGCGAATAGCAGGGTTAGAGCAGCAGGGAGACCAGTGCTGTCAATGCCGCACAGAGAAAACAATGTAGTCACTACAGCTGCTCTCCTGCCCCAACAAATACTGACCTATAAACACAGAGAGCCCATCTTACACGCTTGGCCTCGACTTCAACATAAAGCTCCGATTACACACACACACACTCACACACACACACTGATGCATATACGTGCACACACTGACGCACGCGCACAAACACGCACGTACACAGACGCACACATACACACGCACGCACACATAGGCACGCACACACACAGATGCATGCACACACACAATGGCATGCACACATACAATGGCACGCACACACTGATGCACGCACACATATGCAGACAGGCATGCGCACACAGATGCACGCGTGCACACACAGACACACACCCACACAGAATCACGCACACACACGGATGCACACACGCACAAACCAGCACGCACACTAACACAGACGCGCGCACAGACAGACGCGCACACACACACATACACACGTGCACACAGACACACACTGACGCACGCACACTCTGACGCACTCGCACACGTGTACAACTGTGTTGAAAGGAAATGAGAATCAAACAATGAGAAGAGAGTGCATCTGACTTTCCGGATAATCAGTGGATGGATTTCAAACTATAACTACATGGTCTGAGAAGTATGTTGGAAAAGCTCTGTACTTGGAATGGCAGCACATTGTCAGGTCCCGGGCTCCAGCCTAATGCCTACTTGTGTTGGTGTTCTGGTGCAGGCTGTGTTTACAGTACTTTTACATTGTTAATTAATACAGAAGTCTGCAGACATTCCTATAGAGAGAGGCAGATCTTGGCCTCACGCCCAAACCAACAGGGAGCTGCTGATACTCAGCCAAACTCAGACACAGATGGAAGTAATGTACAGAGTAGGGTCTGAGAGAGAGAGGGAGAGAGAGCGAGAATTAAAAGTTATTTCCCCTACTTACCACTCTCGCTCTTTTCAATAACATCCACCACTTCCCCAGCCTTCAGGCTGATCTCCGAGTTCTCCTGCTTCTCATAGTTGGCAACCACCACATACTGCTCCAGCACCATGGGCTCCACCACCGTGTCGGAGCCTGGAGTGGGGAAGAAGCAAGCTGTCAGCCAACTCGCAGCCATGGCTCCTCACAAGCGAGCGGCACACTGTCCCACTCACGATAGGTCAAATCCCTCGGCCCCCTGCACCAATCAGCAGTTTAACTCAGTGCACAGCGTACTGCTGAGGGTCTGGCCATATAGATTCTTCCTCCTTCACGGCCACAGCTGCACAGCGCAACATCAGGATCCCGTGACTGCTTCCCTTAAGATTCCTCGAACATTAATCCCAGATGAAATGCTGCCACACAGCCCAGATATCCACAGCTCTAACTGTCACATTACCCCACATGCACACACACACAGCTCTGCTACAGACACTGCACAAGCACAGTTAGAACTAATTAAGAGTCTGTCCTCCTCTGTGCTTGGAGAGGCGGGCGGGCGGGGGGGAGGGATGGGGGGAAAGAGAACGAGAACGCCAATGGCAATCCACAGCTTTTCAAGCCTTAAATAGAAACACATGAGTGGGACGGGCCAGGGAGGGAGGGAGAAATGTTTACATAACAGTGAGAAACAGAGAGTTGCAGGAGCAAAGCTCTGTTCCCTGCTGACTCTTCTCTTATCTAACTTTTCTGCAGTAATTACTAAATGATCTACATTGCTGTGCAGGATTCACTCTCCAGAACTCAGGCTGGATCAGTGCCTCCCTTCAAGCCCGGCCTGACCAGCAACTGTCTACATGAATCTTCTGAACCTATAGCAGTTTTATGTTCAATGCATTTGAATCACTGAGTATATGGAGCTGACCTCAGGATAGAGTTCCATTTCTAACCAAGAAGCCAAACCTGCCTCAGTGACACATCGCAACCAACTGGCCAAGTTACTGCTGGTCACTTGATTGAGCCTCTCCCCCGCCCCCTCGAACCCACCACAACCCATCCCACCGCCCCCAGCACAGCAGTGTCCCACAAACAGTCATGACCAAATTGAGTGACCAAATTATTATTATTTTTTTCAGGGATTATTATCCCCGGTAAAGCGATATGCCAATCGACTAACAACCAGGTTCCTACTTACTACTAGGTAAACAGAGGCGTGTGGAGTAAGGAAACTTGCCTAACATTTCGCCCTGCCGGGAATAGAACCCAGGTCCTCTCGCTTGCAAAGCGAGTGTTCTATAATAATAATAATCCTTGCATTTGATATAGCGCTTAAACCACTGAGCTACAGTACTCTATCACTATTTAAATTCAGAAAATAATCTTTACCTGTTTTCTTCTTTATGGCTCCACATTCTCTGTAAGAGAAACAGCAACAGAAATACATGATCAGCGATGCTCTGAAACAAGCAAGACTCAAGCCAGCACCTTCCAGCTTGTCTTATTTATCATTTATTCACAGGTTGAGATTGCGAGATTGCAGAGGGAGAGAGAAACAGCTCCACTAGAGGATGGGAGGTCACGTGATATGTTATAAGATCATACCATTTACTACTAAAAAGGGGCCATATGTTCTATTACAAAATGCCTAATTAGTCTAGCAATTCCAATTAATCAACTAGTGCAATGTATATAACACATTTCAGAAATGTACTATTCAGAGCTAGGATTAGTAACCTTCTGAGAGACAAGCTGGATAGTGTAATAGTGATTAGTCACACGGCAAGTCTGCAGTAATGTTGCATGTTGCCCAAGTACAGTAACATATCATTCATGGCCATTGAGTGCCATAAAACCATGGCCTGGATCTCCAGATGGCAGGGCTGAAACTAAAAACATTGGAAAGCTCAGAAAGAACATCCAGACAGCAAGCAATTCAAGCTGCAAGATGGAACAAATGTGCTTTTAAAGATGTGTGCTGTTCTCAATTGATCAGTTATTGTACTGCACTTGAACAGGAGCTGGAGAATGGGAGTCATTGTGACAGTGTCATGAGCTGCCTGGCTCCACAAGTCCATGGTTCAGAGTAGAGGCTGACAAAGGCACTGATCTCCCATTATCTGGTAGAATGCAGCTCTGTTTCCATTCATATGGCTATGTGGAGCACTGCAGCAAAGCTTTTTCAGTGCACAAAGAGATGGCACAATTGCTCTGGCATTCAGTAGCGACTGATCGACAAACAGTAAGCCAAATGGACCAGCATTAGGGTCGCTCAATCGCAGAGGATCAGAGAAGCTTCACATTCCAGGCAGCAGGTCCAACATACAGAAGATAATTAAACAGAATATAGAAACTCGGGAGAACTGAAAAAGGAAATAAGAGGGGCAAAGAGATTGTATGAGAAAAGATTAGTGGGTAACATAAAAGGGAACTCTAAGGTATTTTATAAGCATATAAAGAATAAAAGGTTAGTCAAAGGTAGGATGGGGCCAATTAGGGACCAAAAAGGCAGAGGGCATGGCTGACGTACTGAATGAGTATTTTGCATCTTTCTTCACAAAAGAGCCAATGCCACAATATCGAAGAGGGTAGAGAAATTGGATAAGATAAGAATAAACAGAGAAGTTACTAAAAAGAGTGACGGTGCTCAAGGTAGATATGTCACCTGGTCCGGACTCCTAAGTAAGTCTGGAAATAGCGGAGGCTTTGGTCACAATCTTTCCATCCTCTTTGGATACCGAGGTGGTGCCAGAGGACTAGAGGGTTGCAAATGTTACTCCCCTGTACAAAACAAGCGGCAGAAGGATAAACCCGGAAACTACAGGCCAGTCAGCCTTACATCAGTAATGGGGAAACTTCTAGAGACGATAATCTGGGACAAAATTAATTTTCACTTAGAACAATATGGGTTAATAAAGGATGCCAAAACAGATTTGTTAAAGGCAAATCATGTCTAGCAAAGCAAACCTGATAGAGATTAATGATGAAGTAATGGAGAGAGTGGATGAAGGTAGTGCAGTTGATGGTAGTATATATGGATTTTCAAAAAGCTTTTAATAAAGTGCTACATAATAGACTTGTTAGCAAAACTGAAGCCCAAGGTATTAAAGTGAGAGTGGCAGCATGGATACAGAACTGGCTGGGAGACCAAAAGCAGAGAATGGTGGTGAACGGTTGGTTTTCTGACTGGAGAGAAGTTTACAGTGGGGTCATTTATATAGATTAAAAAGAGCAGTGATCCCAATATCTAGACCTGGGTATACAGAGTATAATTTCCAAGTTTGCAGATGATACAAAACTAGGAAAAGTAGTAAACAGTGAGGAGGATAGTAGCAATAACAACAAGATTATATTTGTATAGCGCCTTTCACGTGGGAGGACGCAGCTGCAGGAAGACTAAGACAGACTGGTGAAATGGGCAGACACGTGGCAGATGAAATTTAATGCAGAGAAATGTGAAGTGATGTATTTTGGGAGGAAGAATGAGGAACGTTGAGGCCTTGGAGAGGGTGCAAAGGAGATTTACCAGGATGGTATCAGGAATGAGGGACTTGAGTTATGTGGAGAGACTAGAGAAGCTAGGGTTGTCCTCCTTGAAGCAGATAAGGCTAAAGGGAGATTTACCAGGTTTTCAAAATTATGAGGGGATTTGATAGAGTGAACCGGGAGAAACTGTTTCAATTGGCGGGTGGGTCGGTAACCAGAGGACACAGATTTAAGATAGTTGTCAAAAGATGCAGAGGGGAGGTGAAGAGAAATTGTTCCACAGCGAGTTGTTTGGATCTGGAATGCATTGCCTGAAAGTTTGGTGGAAGCCGATTCAATAATAACTTTCAAGAGAGAAGTGGATAGATATTTGAGGAGGACAAATATGCAAGGCTATGGGGAGAGAGCGGGGGGGAGTGGGATTAATCTAGATAGCTCTTTCAAAGAGCCGTCACGTGCACGATGGGCTGAATGGCCTCCTTCTGTGCTGTGTAATTCTATGATTACAGGTTAACCTCAATCTCTGTGGCTCACCTCAAGCCCAGTGTGCAGTGCTATTGAAATTAAACATATAAGTGAACAACAACCAAGATTCAAATCCTGGAAAGCAAAGCTTCGAGCACAGCACTGTTGCCATTGAGTTCATGGGCACTTTGTGCCACAACAAAAATTTCCAGAAGCTGCCAGCACTTTTTCATAATACTTACATTTGATACAGCACTTCACAAGATTTATTGTAAAGTGTATTGACTGCATATTTTGTAGGTGAATACAGAAGCCAATTTGCCCACAGCAATGTTTCACAAACTGCCATGAAATGAATGATGAATTTAATCTGAGGAGTTGTTGGCCAGAACAACAACAAATTATAGTTGTACAGAGCCTTTCACGTCGGGAGGACGTCCCAAGGATATCAGAGAAATTCCTTTCTCTTTCCAAATAACACCATGGGTTCTTTAAACCTGTAATAATAATATTAATAATCCTTGCATTTGATATAGCCCTTTTCACGTCTTCTAGACATCTCAAAGTGCTTCACAGAATTTGCTGTGAAGTGAATTGACTGTATATTTGTGGGCGAAACGCGGCAGCCAATTGTGCACAGCAATGTCCCACAAACAGCCGTGGATTGAAAATGACCAATTTATTATTATTTTTTGGGTTTTGGAGGGATTATTATTAGGCGTGTGAAGTAAGGAAACTTGCCCAAGATTTCGCCCTGCCTGGAACTGAACCCAGGTGTCTCGCTTGCAAGGCGAGTGCTCTAACCACTAAGCTACAGGACTCCACAGTAATAGTGCACCTGCCCAGAAACTGTATTGGATAACTTTAAGCATTCCGAGAAGCTACCCCACATGAAGGGGCTATACAAATGCTAATTGTTGTTATTGTTGAGTGTCAGCCAAGACTACAACTCAAACTCTCAACATGGGGCTTAAACCCACCATCTTCTGGCTCAGAGGCAAGAGTGCTACAAACTGATACAGGCTGACACCTTCAAACGCATTGTCCTACAAGGGGAGAGTGTTCTGGTCAATATCACAGGAGGAAGACTTGTGTTACAACAGGTTTAAATTGCTGAAAAAACTCAATGCATCTAAGAAATGTGTTGTGCTCCATTAGCTATTCGATTATAGATATTCACAAAGCTTGGAGATCCTGGTGAAGGGCATGTCACACCACCACATGCAAGATGCTGCTGCTTATACAGCAGGAAACACTCACAATTCTTGGCTGGGCCTTTAGCCTGACAGATTGAGGCAGCACATGATAGTTGTAATGGCTGCAATTGGCTGGATCTGCACAAACCTAGGACTCCCCAGTCTGTAGCCAAGTCTCACACCAGGCATTGGCTTTACTGTCTGAGTCACGGTTGTGGGGTGCATTGGGGAGAGAAGGAGCCCACATAATTTAGTTTGAAGCTTGTGTACTTTACTGTACCCAAGTTTCATTCAGTTCAGAAAAACAAACAGTTCAGGGACAGCAATGAGGAGAACGCCTCCTGAATGCCAGTGTTATTCTATCAAATATACAAAGGAAATCTCCAAGGGAGTCTGTGTGGAAGGTCAGTGCATAAAGAAATGCTCTGACTGTTTTTAAAAAAATAGGATTGAGCATAAGTGTGATCAGTATCTTTGAAAGTGTATACACGATATGAACAGTATAGAGCACTTTCTACAGTGCGAAAAAATTCCTCTCATGTCTCTGGTGCTGACAAGGAAATGGATTTGTGCAAGTGGAAAGCAGAGGTTTCGCCCTTTCCCTCTGGAATACTATTCCCCAAATACCAGCAAATGCTCGGTATTCCACAGATAAACCGCACAACACAATTCACCAGGAGATCCTGCAAAGTAGGGGCTTGGCCAATCTGCTCAACACATCAAACAGAAAAAATTAAGAGATAAAGATGCTTGCCCGATAAAGAACTACTTGAACAGACCAAAGGCCAAACTCAATTATGATTCCTCTAAATAAGAGCTTTACAATCAATGCAGAGGCTGTGGACCCTGTAACTCCTTTCCTCCTATTTGAAGGGAAGAAAAACAAAAGCAGAGAATTGAAGTTAGTTGACAGCTCCAGGGAAAGGAGCTTTGCATCATCAGCTCAGATACACCAAATTGCCTCCTTCTGCACTCCAATTTCTATTGATTATAGGAAGGCACAATGAACCATTGAGTCAGGCATTAACATCAGAGCGAATAGTCAGTGTAGGTGGGTACAGTATTGGTAAATACGTAGGATAAAAAATAGCATGGCTATACTCCTAAAGCTTTGCCTCACAGGTTAATGTAATGCCCTTTGGGGGAATTGAAATCAAGTTCAGGTTTACCTGCTGGGAATAAGCTGCTTATTTATAGTGGCCTTCAGCCACTGTGCCCCAAGGCTCTGGAACTCCCTTCCTCACTCCCTTCGCCTCGCTCCCTCCCTTCCT